GTGGTTCTCCGAGCAGGAGGGCTCACCTCAACTGTCCTGCAAAAGAGCCTTTCACAACCCCCTGGGCAGCCACAGTCCCTAGGCTGGCTGGGGCCCATGAGCTGGTTTCTGCTTCTCTGATTTCACTGAGTTGTTCATAAGCAGAGTTCTAGTCCTTCTTCTTATGACTCTTAGGTGGCAGGAACATGCACAGAGGAAGGACCTGGATGTGCCTGCTCAGAGCAGGTCAGGCTGTCTGTGGAACCTACTTTTGCTTCCTGGGCTTTGGATGGGCTCTCAGACTCTGTGGAAGGACTTGCCCATCCACCACCCCCAGACTCATGTCTCACCCATTCCTCTCTGGAAGTTGATTCCCTTGGGTGTAGACAAGAGCTAGCTAGCATTCCCCGCCTCTAGCACATCCTGCCTGCCCCAGCCTGGATCTGCTCAGACCAGCTGAAATTGTCCTGCTTGAGCCCCATCTTCTCAGGGTCCTCTTCTAACCCTGCCTTCCCCACTCTAAGGAGTCAACAGGCTATCTTTCCCAGTTGGCATAAAAAGCCACTCTCACCCCTTGCCCATAGATGCCATGGAAGAAGCCAAGGTTCTGAAGTTAGAGTCATAAAATCCTCATTCCCAGCTCCTCGACTCACCAGTTTCATAATCGTGAGCAAATCACTTAAACTCTCTGAGCCACGAGTGCTCATATTTGAAAGGGCGGGGCCGAAGCTAATTGCCCTGTCCCCCCTCTACCCTGTGTACTGTGAGAATCAAATGAGATAATGTCTGTGAAAGTGCTCTGTAAACCAGAGGCTGTTATTACCCCACGGCGGCCTATTATTATTAATAACTGGTTTTCCCCATTCTTCCAACTCTCCCTCCCTCTCCCGAGCTGACTTGCCGCTGAGACTCAGTGGAGGTGCCCCTATGGGGCTGGGAACTAGAAATGATTCTGCTTTGTTCACTGAGGAAGTTCCAGTTCCTCTGATTGACACCCAGAGAACAACGAAGGGTTAAAGGAGCTGGATGACAAAGTCTTTCCTGGATTGACGGTTGGTGGTCCCAGTGGAAGCCAAGATGGTACCTCTGCACCCAAGGCAGGAAGAAAGCCTGGTTCAGGCAGCAGCTCCAGGGTGCTGTCAGCAGGCACTGCTTTCAAACGGGTCACTTCGTATGCCACTGCCAGTCTCTTGCTGTAGTCACCCGCATTTCCTGGAACCTCTGCCTCCAGACCTGCCTCTCTTACTCCATCTTCCAGAGCTGTCTAAATACCAGTCTCTTCATACTGTTTGCTTAACGCCCACACCAAGTCCCCCTTGCCCTCCAGCTAAGGGCTGACTGAAGCAGCAAGAGCTTCTGCTACCCTCCAGCCTCACCCAGGACTCCCGCCCCCTCCTTCAGTTGCTGCTCATCCGGCACCCTATTCTATACCACCTCCTCCTGGGGGCTCAGCTAGGTGCCAGCCCTGGCGAAGCCTGCCCTTGCTCCCCTACAAAGAAGGCTGCCTGGGATGTGCTTCCAGAGCTGCTTGGCCTCCCCGTTAGCCGCCCCTCCCTCGGTTGTTTTTTGGTGTTAGGCTCTGTCTACCCTAGGAAGCTGGAGCTAGCCCTGCCTGCCACTGTCCTCATTTGTGATGGTCTTGGCACTTACGTGGGTGCCCAGCAATGAATCAGTGAATAGAAGCATTGGGTCCATGTCCACTACTTGATCCCTGGAAGCTGGGGCACTCAAAGATCTTAATGGATAAACACAGATGGTTTCATTTTAAATGAGAATGAACAAACTTTACGACTCTTCATTTTTCTCTCCTAGATCTATTTTTAGCGCATGCCAGCTAGCTAATATGGCCTAAGATTTATCAAGTATTTAATCTGCACTGAGCACTTTACATGAGTCAGTTCCCTCAGTCTAACCAACCATGCTCAGAAGTGACTGCTGTTACTCTACCCCTGATGCACTACCCATGAGGCACTGTGGTTCAGAGAGTACCAGTCGCTTGTCCAAGGTCACCAGGTCAGCAAGTGAGGAGTGCTCTTGAGCCAGAATCCATTTTCCTCCAAAATCCATGCTTTTAATTACTGTAACAGGCTGCAGGGGCTTTGGCATCATAGAGATCTAGGTTTGAATTCCTAGGACTCACGTGTGTAATTGTAGCAACTTAGTGTACCCCCCTTGCTCCATTCCTTATTAGAATGTTGTGTGATAAACAGGATTATGTTTGTAAAGCACTTGGCTCTGGGTAGATTTTCAATTTTCATTGACAAGTTAGTAAGACATAGATAGACCTTACATTTTTGTAATTCAGCAATTTTAAGAATTAGGACTGATTGCTTTCTTCTTGAGCATCCTCTTGAAGTGTACTGGGGCTCCCTGCATCCTGGGGGACTTTGAGGCAGGTTCATCTGCCCTTGGATGCTTGAATCTATGAGAAGTGGCTTTGGCACACTCACCTGCAGCCTGCTGCTGCTCCATTGTCTACTTGCTCAGAAACTTAGGAGAAAGTGCCATCACTGTCCCTGGGCACCTTCATGGTCATCTAAGGGCAGCCACTTTGTCACCACTGGACACTGGACTCTCATTTCTCCAGGTAGGATAATGTCAGACCCTACATACTTTTCCCATGAAGCAAGGGTCAGAGTCTCACTACCCGCCTAATCACTGGCCTAGAAGGGGCGTCCATGTGTCCACACCTCCTTAACCCACAAGAGCTAAGAGACGGAACAGCAGGGATGTTCACTGCAGCATTGATTACAAGGGTGAAAACTTGGAACCACTTAAATATTCCACAATGACAGATGGGCTGAGTAGGTTACAGCACACACACAAAAATGACCCTCAGCTATGTCTGGGGAAGAAGGCTTATCAACCCGAAAAGAGGACTAGGGTGAGATGGAACACATAAAAAACAGATGGCAAAGTAGAAGGTAATAGTGTTCACTAATATAGGGAAGAAAATCTGAAAGTGTTCAGGAGGGTAAAAGTGTTTTATCTCTGGGTTGTGAAATTATAGGGGGTTTTCTAGGGGGGGGAAGTATAACTTAGTGGTTATGAAAATGGACTTCAGAATCAGGCAGACCTGGTTTTAGCCTATTTTCTGCCACTTGAGAGCTTTGTCACCTGAGTTTCATAATTTGTAAAGTAAGAATAATAGTGCCCACCCCTATTGGTCGAGAGGGCGGGTCTAGCTCTGTCTCCGCCATGTTGGCCGCAGGCTACGTGCTCTGTTGGGCATTGAGGTGCACCTTCTCCGTGAATTTCATTTTGCAAATGAGAAAATTAACAGTGGGACAAAGAAACCTGCCCTGATCCCACAAGGGAGCTGCTGACTGTCCCCACTCTGGGCACCTAGTTCTTTAAGAGCTGCTGAGGTAGGATCTGCTGTCTTTCATCCACAGCTCCCTGCTGACTCATTCTAGACCCACTTTGCCTAAAGCCCCAGTATTTTCATACTGGCCATGTCTCCTCTATCTTCTAGTTGTGTTTTATCTTATTCTTTTTTTTTTTTGGACTCGAATGAACTAATTATTGATCAGACAGGTGGATGAAAAACCTGAGCATTCAAATCGTACCATTGATTATGAGGAAGTCCAAGAATAAGCTTTGCGATCAGGCAGCGAGAAGTTGCCAGTCACTCTACAGAACCCCAAAGGTAGAAAAATGTTTTGAGTTTTGCATTTTTCCTTTTCTGCTCATCTGGAAAGAGTGACTGGTCTTGATGAGAGAGTGGGTAAGCAGAGGGTCCATGACTGGCCTGGGAGCATGTCATTGACCAGGGTTGCTAGGAGAATCCCAAGGCTGGGTCCTTGAGCAGAATATGGAGGACAGGAGCAGGTGCCTGACAGATCTGGGTCCTCATCCCTGCTCCCTCACTCACCCCCTGTGTGGCCCTGAGCACCTTTCTAAATTACCTGAACTTCATTTCCTTATCCTTAAAACAATAGCTGGGGAAACAGATTTCAGTACATCCACATCAACAAACACGATGCAGACATCCATAATGATTATACAATGAACATTTCTTGACTTAAAAAAGATGGCTATGGTGTGTTGGCAAATGCAAAGGGCAGGTTGTGATATGGAATTCAGAATGGAGCAGTCATTCAGATATGCAATGCGCCCAGGCTCTTGACTGTGCAAGACAATTTCAGCAAAAGGCAGAGGCACAGTGCCTTACACTTAGTAGGCACCTCATTGTGATTGATCAAATCCCAATTGTGGGTCCTTTTGGTGACTGTTTGTTTAATTCCTAATTGAGAAGTATTGAGGTGGCACTGTTTGCCAGGCACTGTGCTCTGGGTACCAGGGTGACACCCAGGGGAAGATGGGGAGTGACGGTGGTTCTTAAGGCTACAGCAGGGAGAGGTTATTATGGGAGGAGGTGTTTGAGAAGAGTGTCAAAATAGGGACAGGAGTTGCCTAGGCAAGTGTGGAAACAGATCAGTGTTAACCTGGTAGAAAAGGCAAGAGGAGGGCAGGGTTGTGGGTGTGACAGAAATTAATGGCCCTGACTGACTGACTGGCTCTAGCTGTCCTAGGTAGAAAAAAATCCCAAGTATTCTTTAAAAAAAATCCCAAGTATTCTTTCAAAAAAAAAACACCTGTAAGCTCAACTCAGAATTGAATTCCATCAAGCCACTGATTCACACAGCAAGCATTTATTCAACATTTACTATGTGCTTTGCATCACGCTGGGTGCTGGGAAGATAACGCTGATGAATTTCTTCCAGTCATTTTCCTAAAGGTGCCTTTATTGGTGTAGCATTGACGAAGGCTCAGCCCTCCTCCAGGGGCATCTGCTGTGGTGATGGAACTCTTCTTTACATTCTGCAAGGAAGAAATTGACACACTTTTTTACGTCCTTCTCAAAATTCAAAACTAGACATACATGTGACTCATTGTTTTATCTACTAACATGTATTCTGATCATACCCTGGCTTAGACAGAGATGACTTAGGAAGCCTTACAGGAATCAACCATGACTGTGAATGTAATCATTTGGTTTACTGATTTGTCCCACACAGGAGAGGTGACTGGCCCAAGGTCACCTGATGAGTTTTCTGGGCTTGAAAGGAGATCTAAAGCTGCTGGTTACAGAGTCACTACTTTCTGATGCCTCCATCAATAAAATGCCTGCCACACAGTTGCTCCAGAATGAGACCAGGAGGGGACCCATCCTGTGGTTAATGTGACTGTGATCTAATCATCTGGCCACTCCCACCTCCACCTCCTTCCCCAATCCAGAGCTCAAGGTCAGTCACTCAACTCTGCCTTGCCTCTCACAGAGTATGGCTGGCTGTCTCCAGCCTACTTGTCATTCTTCTGAAAATACCCATGGAACCTCGTCCAGTCTCCCCTGAACGGCCCTCCCACTTGCTCCTCTGCATGTCTTCTGGTAGACAAGCCACAAGCCCAGAGGGGCAATTAGGGATTAGGGGTGACAGCAGTTTGGTATTATTTCAGCTAATTGCTGTCCTGTGTGTAAGAGTGCAGCATCTCCAACAGCTGGCCTGAGGAATCGTCCCTGTAGAAGCAGTCCCGCCTTCTGTGGGATAGAGTCGGGTCTATTAGATGGGGCAGGGGCTGTGAGAAGCTGCCGCGTGCACCCCATTGGTTGTAAAGGTTAAATGGGCAGAGCCATCGGGTTCTCCCCACGGTGGCTGTTCACAGTGTGTGTGTTTGATTTAGTTTCACCATTCTCCTTTTGACTCCCCGTGTTCCCCTGACCCTGGCACACAGCACCCTGTGCTCAAATCCGTTATTATCTGCCTTCGATGGCACGTGGGCCACGAAGCCTTCTTTTCCTCTGTACTAGTTTTGGAGGTGCGGGAGGGGTACTGTGATTGATTTGTATATGGCTATCAGAGCAGGATGCCAAAGATTAGTCCTTGGCTGACTGAGACTCTGAGCTCTAGAACACGCTGCAAGGTCTCAGTGGACTTCTGAGCATGCCAACTCGGATTTTCATTTATGGTGGTGTGACATGGATCCCTGAGCTGACTATCTGAGCTAAGGTCGGGGCATCTCTGGACAGGGGCAGCACGGGGAATTGAATGCCCATATATATCCACTCTTGGAGCTCTTTGGAATTGAGGGATTGGGTAGTTTTTCTTTCTTTCTTCCTCCCTCTTTCCCTCCCTCTCTCTCTCTTTCTTCTTTCTTTCCCCTTCCTTCCTTCCTTCCTTCCTTTCTTTCTCTGTCTCTCTCTCTCACATTGCTAAGCACAAACAGAGAAGGAAAATGTTAATTCACATTCTTGCTTTTTTCTAAAGGAAAACCTCCCCCTTCCCGCCCTGGCCTGTTCCCAAGGGCTCACTTTCCGAGTCTGCTCATCAGTGAGTCTGTACAAACAGCTCGGAGCAGGAAGGCTGCGGGCTCCTCACCTTCTGTGTCCCTGTCTCCTCCCCGCTCACCCCAGCTCTGAGTTCTGCCTCTGCTCTCATGAAGGGTGTGTTGATGGAGGGTGCAGCTCACTGGGTCACACAGGGAAGCTACAGGGGGTGTCCAAGTTCACATGTCCCACATTCCAGGAGAATGTTTCTGACATTGAGCAATGGTACGGCTCTGCCAGGTTGAGGTCTGTCCGATTGGAATGCAACTCAAAAGGAAAGTCCCGGAGTGATAGTGATTCAAATACTCACCTCCCCAGATCCCCGTCTTGGTTTTTAATTCCTTTTTAATTCTCCAATGACACACTCAGCCCAGCTCTCTTGCTGACCGCATGGTACTTGGTGGTGCTGATAAGTACAACTTCCCAAGAGATAGGAATGCAAATCGTCACATTGTGTTGAGTCATGTGTACTCTGCAGCTCTTTCCCAAACATTGCCTCAGACCGTAATTGGCAGCTCCCAGGACTCCTCTGCTGGAGTGACACTGCATGCCCAGGAAAAACTCAGTCCATTTCTTTAAAAAATTATATTTTGACCCTCTTCCTCTGCCTGGTTGTAATATCCTGTTCTCAAGGAAATGGAACCCCTGGGGGAGCAAAGGCAAAACTGGTTTTGCAGATAAGTTGGAAAATTATGGCTATTGCCCTTCCCCACCCACTCTGGTCTCTTAGCAACAAGACAGCTGGTGGTATCCACCAGAAAGAAAGAGCCCAGAGCTTGCAGAGGAGCCAGTCTGAATTCTTGCCTGCAGCCTGATTTATTTAAACCTCTGCTGCATTCCTGGGCGTAGAGACCCAGGAGTCCAGTCAAGGGAGCATCCCCTGCCCTTCGTGTGACCTCTGTAAGTGAGCAGACAGAGGGAGATCTCAGAGTGAGGGGGACGGTCCTCTACAAAAATCTGCCTGGTGTGGGAAGCCAGTTTCCTTTGACTTTGGGGGAATCCATGTGCAAATTTGGGCTTGTTTATAGAGCGAGGTGGCCTGGGGTGGAGCCAGGAAGGAGCACAGAGCTGGGGTCTGGAAACCAGGTCTGATGGCAACAGCCTCTCCCTCCCTGTGCCCTCCCCACCCAGTGGTGATTTTCTCAGCTGCAAAGTACAGTTATTGAATTAGATGTTCTGGGTTGGGGGTGCTGGGACGTGTATTTTTTTATAGTCTTTCTGTTATATGAATATCCATCTGATCCCCTCCCCCATAGTTATTATGTGCTGGAGCAAGAATTCAAACACAGATCTGAAACTCACTTTCCCTGTCCCTACCGGATGCTGTTTTGATACACACACACACAGGCACCCCACAGCTGGAACGTTGTACCAGGCCATTCTCATATCTTCATCTATTAATCCATGAGACTAGAACTGAGGGGTGTGGAGGATTTGCGTGGCAGTGGAGACACTTGAGTTCACATTCTTGCTTGCTCTGCCTCTGAGCAGCTAGTGGACTCAGTGTCCTCCACCATGAGACGGGAATAACAGAACCTGACGGCTCAGCTGCTGCCAGGGGGACTAGGTGAGAAGATGTATAGAAAACACCTAGCATGGTGCCTGCTACATAGTAAGTGCTCAAAAAAAGGGGAGAACAATGACAGAGCGAGACTGAGGTGTTGGCTGTAGGTTCCTTGATGGTAAAGACTTGCCCCAATTGTCCTGTAACTTCACTACATTTTGTGGCACACAGAAGATAACTGTTTGCTGAGCTTAACAAATGTACCTCCCTAATACACACACACACACACATACACACACACACACCACACACACATAAGATTGATGAATTTTATGACTTCATCTTGCTGGGACTTTTCATAGGGCTCTGCATTTTAGAGTAACTCATCACAGCTAAGATACTGTGTGGTTGGCTGTTTTGTGTCCAACTTAATAATCTTCAAGCATTTTTAAGAATCCAAAGTCTTGCTTCTCAAAACATTGTTTTGGCCAGATATTATTCAGGCATTTCTCTCTGGTTCTCTGCAGCTCCCCCTTCATCTGGCACTTAAAACACTAAAGAAGTGTGAGCAGGGCTTGTATTACTGGCACCATACTAAGTCCATTATATATTACCTTATTTAATGCTGTTAATGACCCTGCAGGGTGGGTATCACCTCAATTTCAGAAGAGGTAATTATTGGCAGAGGTAATTATCCAGACAGATAAACTAGTAAACCCAGGCAACTCAAATTATAATTGGCACAACTAGGGTTTAAGCTTAGGTCATGTGACTTCAGAGTAAACTCTGACAAGTTTAAGCTACTGGCTTGATCAGTGTCCCTGAACTCACATGGTGTCCATTGTCCTGGGGAGCACTACTGTAGCCTGTCCAAAACTTGACTCCTGCTCTGCATGATCATGCCTGTCACCACCCCCTCTTTGTCCCTGAGAACAAGTGATGGAAACTGAGGACACAGAAGCTACAGAATCATAAGCCAAGAGGATTTAAAAGTTGGAAGACTTCTTCAAGAGGTCATCTCGTCTGATGGGTTCTATTGGTGGTGGGGAGGGGACACGGCTTGCCTAGTGGCTTGTAAAATCAATTTAATAGTTCATAACAAACATTTCCAAAATGAAACGGATGGGATAGAGGACATCAGAGGTAATGCACTTGGGGTGAAGTAGTGTTGAGAGGCAGCAGTCAGGTGTCCACTGTGCGGGTATTTGGGTTACAGCATAAAGTGCATTTCTTATTGGAGAGTTGTTTGTTGAAGCTTGAAAATGCCAGTTTCAGGCAGCGATTTTCAAAGTTTATTCCATGGCAGAGGAGGCCTCCCATACGTTAGGAGAGGATGGGAGAGGACAAGGAGAGTAGGAGAAACCTCAGGAATGTCCCCTGTTCCCACTAAATTAGTCCCGTGTTTATCCTCCTTTCATGCTGAGTTTTCATATAATAGTTCATCTTTTAAAAAGAAACTTTATAAAACAAAACAACAACTAACCAAACAAAAATAAAAACAAACAAACTAAAAAATTGAAGAGCCGCCAACTTACCCCATCGGAGTTGTGTCGTACTGGGTATTGATTCATTCCTGTGTGGCTTTCTCTGCTAATAAAGGAGTATGTTTGGCACTGTCATGGTGGCAATAAAAAATGCAGGAAGGTTAAAAAAATGTGATTATTTCTGTCTTTAAACTCTTTGGATCAATGTGATATCAAGTAGCAAGATATTATATGGAAATGCATAATGATGTTCAGAATTTGGCAGCCCCTTTAAAAACAGATACAAAGATTTCTGCAAGAAGGTTGTAGAGGAAAACATACTGGAGGTGGCAGTGGAGTTGAAATTCAGTATAAAGGGTTCTACTGGGGTTCAGCTCAGTAACATAAACGTGTGTGTAATATGAATTTTCTTGACAACATTTCATGACCCAAAGTCTAAGGTTGTTCATTAACTTGCCTGTGAGTCAACCGTGTGGCATGGGCCAAAACCCAAGGCAAGCACACTACATTCAATTTGTTCATGGAAACCTGATACAAAGTCCCCCTGTGTGTGTGGTGGTGGTGGGGGGGTTCAGGGGGACTGCAAAAATGATCAAGGTACTTTGTAGCTTCTTCCATATGAGGTGGAGTCTGTTTTCCTAATTCTTTTTTACTTTGGCCCCATGACTTGCTTTGGCTTTAGAATGTGGCAGAAGTGATGTGTCATTTGAGCACCTCTCCATTCTTGAACTCGTGGAACCCTGTTATGGATACGTGATTCAGTCTGGCTGAGCCTCCTGGAGGAAGACCATGATGAGAGACCCCGCCTGTCCCTGCCTTGGCCTTTCTGGACCAAGTACCACAGCAGACCTTTCAGCTGATTTTAGATGTAGGAGTTAGCCCAGCTGAGATCAGCCAAGCTCAACCCAGACCAGAATGACCTCCCTGACCTTTAGAATTGTGAGCTAACTTTTGGAATCCTAACAAACTCACCCAAAGTCCTGGCAAATCCCCTCTGGGAGACAGTATCATGACTACATCAGATGGCCAGAAATATTAACTAGAAATGTTCGTAATCATTAGCTAGAAATGTTCACAAACTACAGTGTGCTCAGGTCAGGGTAGGGAGAAAGGCTTTGAGGACCTGCTGGATGAAAAGTAAAGGACTTTAGCAGGAACATGAGTTCTGCCTCCAGAGAGTTCTACATCAGAGAAATGGGACAAAGAATTTGTAGCTTCTGTGGTGGATTAAATAATTGGCTACAATTCTTGTATGATTGCATTCATTCTTGCCAAAATCTTTTGGCGGGCAGCGTGTCTTCTCCTTCTCCTTGACCTTAGGCATCTGGGTTTGGACACATGACTTGGCTTGGCCAGTGAAGTTATAGAAAGGTAGGTAGAAGTTATAGAAAGCCAGTTTTGGACCTTAGAGTACATTTCATGTTTCCTTTCACTCTCCTGTCTTTCTTCTGTTGCCATAACAACATGACTCAGTTGGCCCACTGGTCCCAGATGAGCTGGGACACATTTAGAGGCGAGCCACCTCTGCTACTCTGCAACATGCACCAGAGCTCTCCCAGCCAAAAGGTCCATTTGTTGTGGTTTGGATGTGGAGTGTCCCCCAAAAGCTCATGTGTAAAACAATGCAAGAAGAAATGATTGGGTTCTGAGAGTCTTAACCCAATCAGTGAATTAATCCCATGGTGGGATTAACTGAGTGGTAACTGAAGGCCGGTGGGGTGTGGCTGGAGGAGGTGGGTTCCTGGGAGCATGCCTTTGGGTATATATTTTGTATCAGGCCAGTGGAGTCTCTCTCTCTCTCTCTCTGCTTTCTGATCATCATGTGAGCCACTTCTTTCTGCCACATTCTTCTTCCATGATGTTCTGCCTTATCTCAAGCCCTGAGGAATGGAACCAACTGTCTATGGTCTGAGACCTCTGATATCGTGAGCCCCCAAACAAACTTTTCCTCCTCTACATTGTTCTGGTCAGGTCTTTCAGTCACAGCAGTAAAAAAGCTGACCAAAACATCATTCATGCCTGAGAAATTAATGCTCAGTGTTAAATGCACCCATTTTTTTTTGATAATGATGATTATCATTATATATTAATATAATAATCATTATCATTATATATCAAATAGCTGGCCAACATACTTCTGAAATTAAAATTAACACCAAGGAATAGCAACATCAAGAAAAAAGACTTCTATTGCATGTAAGGACAGATCTTTTTAGCCAAAGAAGGTGAACTGGTGAAATTAAGAGTTTCCTGGCCATGGGCATGTTCAATCATCAGGAAGATGCACGTGACCTTCCTAGCAGAGAATCAGACATTCGTTTCAGAGTGACTATGGTGATAAGGAATTGGGAGAAAACTTATGGGTCATTTCAGCTGTGTTTCAGCAGAGAGGGAGGATACGCATGGGGGTGTATGTGGTGTGTGCAGAAGAAGCGTGAGTTAGGAGGAATAGACACTGTAGGAGGCTTTGAGTGCCTCATACTAATATCGACTTTTCATTCAAACCAGTGTGCATTTAACCTGGTGCCCCTCCTCTCTCTCTCCTTTAATTTCTCTTGAAGACACAACTCAAGTCCAAGTTTATCTTCAATATTCCCTGATTTTCCAGCCTTTGGGAGCAACTCATCCCTATTTTTTTCTCTTGGCTGTAATTTGTACACCATCCCGGGCATTTTCCTTGACTCTTTCCAGGCACAGTTAGATGTTTTCCATGTGCTCACCCAGAGATTCCTCAGACTGAAGAACTTGCTGCTCTAACCATAGTCTTGTCTCTTTCTTTAAAAGGGTGAGCTGGGAGGAAGCCAAGAGCTTGCTTGCTCAGTCTGGCAACCCTTTCTACTGCAGCCCTGGCAGGAAATAGTTCTCAAATGAAAGGGGGAGGATTTGGTTTGTCCTTCTGATGCAAGTCTTAAAGGCTTTTGCTCCTAACTTTCTTGGTACTTCAAGACCTGTGCATTGATTCACTCAAGAAATGTTTCATGAGTGAGACTTACCCTGGCTTAGGAAGCCCTGCGTCACCTGAAGCTGACCTAGCTCTTCGACATCATCTTCTATGACTCCCCTTACTCACTGACAAATCAGACAAGAAAAATGAACCAACAAAGTGGACTGAATATGCGTAGCCCATCTGATGTGCCTAACCCTCAGGTTCCTGTGTGAATGAGGAGAAAGCCGGGTTGGCAGGTGGACCTGAAGGGTCACATGAGACAATGAATGGATGGCAGTCTCCAGCATAATGCCGCAGGTGCCTTGTCCCCTCTGTCCGCTCACATGTGAAATAAAGTGTATCAGGAAGCTCCTATTGGTCTTCAATCTGAACTACTACAGAGACTTGAACTCCAATCCGAGTGCGATTTTCTAGTGATGAAAAACTTTCCGTCCCGGGTCTTCTAGAGCGCTAATGATGGGGATGGAATTGATTGTGGGTCACTGGGGAGGCATGCACGTCCTTTGATTCTTTCAAAGCCTTTGTGTGACCGGGGAGGTCTTGTTAGTTGCTGTTCCAGCACCGTGTGGCAGGGAGTTATGTGATAATTGGCCACAAGCCACTGAAAAGCATGAGGAGTCCGGAAATCAGCAGACGAGCTAGTCTTCTGTAGAGGTGCAGTTGACCTGAGCTGTTGTTACCTGAAATGCCGCATTGCAGAGCCAGTCCTTGAGGTTACGTGTTGCTGGATTCAACAATAACAATGACAACACTAATTGTCATTTTTTGCTGATTAGCAGTGTGTTATTTTAGACCCTTAAATAGGACTTGTTTACCCCTAACAAACAACACAATTGTGTTGAGGGACCAGGGCTCTGACTGCCCTCTATGATAAGGTTAGGTGAGTCCATGCCTTAGGACAGGTCCTCTGGAGGCAGGCTGTGAGCATCTAGTGAGCCAAGCCACCCAGAAGCCCTGGAGAAAGGGCACGTCTGGCCAGTGGAAGGGGCTAGGTCAAGGGCAATTAGACAACAGAGATCCGGAAGTTAGAGCATATCTGTTCCCAATCTGGTCCCCACCTCTCCCACCCACACAGATGTGCCTTTAAATATTTATTTGTCCACCTTTGCTGTGTGTGGCAGACTTTGTCTCTGAAGTTAGGCTGATCCCTTTGAAGGTGTTTACTAATTAGATCATGCTGGGAAGTTGGGTAACTTCAGATGTATTAATCCTGTGTAAAGTGCTCCCTGGACCAAGACCCCTGCATTGCCCCAGGGAGGTCAGCTGCAGTCTCCCTGCTTCCTGGCTTCATTGGAGGAAGTTCTAATGGTTGCCCAATTAAGCTGAATTACACAGTGCTTTGGGATTTTTCTACCATCGGCCCCTGACACAGTCGTAAGGCAGATACCAGGGCTGCTGAAGCCAGAAAGCTAAATGTTCTTTGCAAGTGCAATTAAGGATCCGTTGTGCACTGGGTTCAGTTTGACATGGCCATATGAAATTTACTCAGAGACACGGCAAGTGGCCATATGTATTGACTTGAAGATGATTTGGGCTAGGAAAGAAAATTGTTGCAGTAATCCAGGTTCAATAGACCCACAGGTCACTGCCCTCAAATATTTAAAAATACTGTTTGCTGCACAAGAATCTGTGTCCTGGACGTATCTCGGTGTATGTGTTTGCCTGCACGTGAAGCAGGTGTACGTGTGTATGTTTGTGCACGTATCCAGCTGAAAGGGCTTTTAGAAAAGGTGACAAGGGGACCTTTACCGGACTGAGTCTTAAGGCTGTTCAGGTCATCTGATTCTCTTCAACCCCTTTGTTCATTATCAATGCTCTCATAGACAGGGATAGAGTAACGGCTTGTCATGATTGGCCTAGAATGTCTTTGGGGTCTTTGAGGTCTTTGGGGTCAAGGGCTCCCCTTAGAGACCTTGCCTCAAAAGTCTTACTTGTCCCAAAGGCGAGGACAGTACTTCCCACTTCTAGAGCAGTGTTATGAGCCTCCTTGGGGTACCTAAAAGCCTGCTGGGAGCAATCTTGTCAGCTCTGTGCACAGCTGTGGGCGTCCATGGGCTTTGTTGGGCATGAGGCTCCTCTCCCAGAGAGAGTCAAGCGTTTTCTCCTCTCTGCACCTGGGGCCCTTGTTCATGGGTCTGCCATGGTCCAGATCCAGTCTCTTGCTGTACTGTCACGTCCATCTTGTACTCTCAGCACCCCTTCAATGCCCAGCTCAGCAATGCCTGTGAGATGACCTTGGACACAGCTCCCAGGGAGACCCAGGTGTCCCGTAGTTGCTCAGTACAGTATGGACAGCACGTGTTCTCTCTCTCTCTCTCTCTCTCTCTCTCAGTGGAGGTTTGTTTAGGAAAGCAAGGGGCATGCATTCAAGGGACAATGTGAGCTATCTCAAGAGAGAAAGAAGCTGAAATATCTCCTTTTAAATGCCAAATTTCTGGCACTCCACAAATTATCATTTATCCTATTGTTGCACATAGAATTTATGGCTAGTTTAATATACTTTTGAACAAAAAATGCAATACCACTCCGATTTTTATTTTAAAAATATTTTTCCCTTTATAATAATAGTGATAAACTTTTTGCCAGATCAATGAAAAGATATTTACACCATTTTGAGACCAAAAAATCCTAACTACTAGAATACCAGGGAAAATCAGCACCATGTCAAATGCCTGCTGAATATTCCATAGTATATCATAATGTTCCTAACTGAAGGCCGATTTGCAGATATAGTCATGTGTTACTTAATGAGGACACATTCTGAGAAATGCTCCATTAGGCAACTTGGTCACTGTGTGAACATCATGGAGTGTACTTACACAAACTCAGACAGCTACATCAGGAGGTGGTATAATCTTATGGGGACACAGTCATAAATGCAGCCACTGGTTGACTGAAAGGTTATGCAGCACATGAGCTCCATAGGTTGTTTATATTTCTTTATTATAAATAACCCTGTGTTGAGTGTTCTTAATACTTTTATTCTTTTGCACCTAATGGTCAGCAGAGAATAAATTGCTAGAGTGGCTTTTTTCATTTAAAGGGTGAACATTTTTAAAGTTTTTTTAAGTATTTAAAAATGATTTTTTTTAGATGTTGATGAATCTTTATTTTATTTATTCATTTATATGCAGTACTGAGAATCAAATCCAGTGCTTCATACAAGCTAGCAAGTGCTCCACCACTGAGCCACAACCCAGCCCCTAGGTAGAGCATTCAGTTTCAAGAAATTCTTGTCCTTCAGGAAGTCTTTATCAAGTCCAAGCTCCTCCTTAAATCTTCTAACCATGCTCCCCAT